TAATTGAAGAAATTGCACTGGCATCAAATGTAGATTCGGAGCTGTAGACCTTGTATCGAGAAGTGCGAAGTACCGAAGAAGTATGGAAACATAATCTTCTTTACGGATCGTAGAGCCAAGGAGAACAGGATTAATCGAAATAACGAAGCGAGTCTTATTAGCGGAGAACGTTGTACGAAAATCGAGGACGCTCAAAGGTGTATCGAGTTAAGAAGCTCAACGACGGCAAGCTGAAATCGATTATCGTTCGCGCGGATTCGAGCGATAACAATTTCATAGTTCGATAAACGGCTAGCGTTATCACGCCTCGACGAGGAACTAGCAGAGATTCGAAGATAATTGGCCCCGATTCCCTCTGTTCCCGCGTTTGTTCCTTCGTGACGAGCGTCGTTTCAATGGATTACCGATCGTCGAAGCCTCGGTTCCTTGATTGAAAGCGGATTCTCTCGATGTTGTATCCACTCGAAAAGTTGCAGACACTGCGGCGCGTTCGAGGTGTTAACAGCTGGTTTCGACGATAAGGATCTTCGCGGTCTGATAAACGACCGAGCAATCCTCTCCCGCCTCGTTCTCTCTTCCTTCTCTTACGGTCTATCAATGTCCCTAAGGGATTCCGGCGTTACGAATGCCGCACGATTTGGCTGATGGATGCGTGCATCGAAACAATCGGCATTTAGGGGAAAAAACGCGTTTCCTTACGATCGCTAACTCCCGATGGTCCTAGTTCCTAACACGGTGTAAACACAACGAAGGGTCGAACAAATAGAAGCCGCAGAAGAGAACTATTCTCGAGAAGAGTTGTAAAAGAAAAAAGTTCGCATCGGAAAAATCAGTTGCATCGAAGAGAGCTACTGTTGGCCAAATTGCACCTGTCGCCAAGCACCTGTACGTCCACGTTCCTAAGGCAACCCATTGACTAAACGAGTCCTTTCTACCTTTCATTGTCACCTTGTCATCTTCTTAAGTACATCCCCGTTTCTCCTTCCATTTGACCACCTTCCTACTGTTTTCGTTGTTTCGTCAGCGAGCCGGAACACTCTCGGACACGTATACCTGAACCTGAATCTGGGGATTAGGTTTATCCGCTTCCTGGGCCGGCAGCTCGGAGCTTTGAAAGTAATTGGAAGGGACGGAAGATGCTACCACGCGAATGATCGAGTGCGGCGGGGTTAATCGAGTGCGTGGAAAATCGAGATACGTTTCGATCGAAAGTATAACGAAACTAGAGAATCAGAGATCTGATCCGTGTCTTTGCGCGTTTTACAGCGATTCGTACCAGTTCCGATCACGAGTAAATATTTCGGAGTTCACCGTGCTAATACTTCGATAAAAGTTTGGAAGTTCGGCGCAGCAAATACGAAACTGGAACGCGATAAAAATTTCATCCTTAATTGGTTCGAACGTTCCATTAGAAGGACCAGCTACGTTCATATTCCGTGTGTGCACGCACGTGCATTCCACTTTTCAGGCTCGCCTTGAACCTGCCCGATTGCTCGAACAGTTTCACGTGAAACTGGAACCGACCGAAGCTGGTTTCGACGATAAGGATCTTCGCGGTCTGATAAACGACCGAGCAATCCTCTCCCGCCTCGTTCTCTCTTCCTTCTCTTACGGTCTATCAATGTCCCTAAGGGATTCCGGCGTTACGAATGCCGCACGATTTGGCTGATGGATGCGTGCATCGAAACAATCGGCATTTAGGGGAAAAAACGCGTTTCCTTACGATCGCTAACTCCCGATGGTCCTAGTTCCTAACACGGTGTAAACACAACGAAGGGTCGAACAAATAGAAGCCGCAGAAGAGAACTATTCTCGAGAAGAGTTGTAAAAGAAAAAAGTTCGCATCGGAAAAATCAGTTGCATCGAAGAGAGCTACTGTTGGCCAAATTGCACCTGTCGCCAAGCACCTGTACGTCCACGTTCCTAAGGCAACCCATTGACTAAACGAGTCCTTTCTACCTTTCATTGTCACCTTGTCATCTTCTTAAGTACATCCCCGTTTCTCCTTCCATTTGACCACCTTCCTACTGTTTTCGTTGTTTCGTCAGCGAGCCGGAACACTCTCGGACACGTATACCTGAACCTGAATCTGGGGATTAGGTTTATCCGCTTCCTGGGCCGGCAGCTCGGAGCTTTGAAAGTAATTGGAAGGGACGGAAGATGCTACCACGCGAATGATCGAGTGCGGCGGGGTTAATCGAGTGCGTGGAAAATCGAGATACGTTTCGATCGAAAGTATAACGAAACTAGAGAATCAGAGATCTGATCCGTGTCTTTGCGCGTTTTACAGCGATTCGTACCAGTTCCGATCACGAGTAAATATTTCGGAGTTCACCGTGCTAATACTTCGATAAAAGTTTGGAAGTTCGGCGCAGCAAATACGAAACTGGAACGCGATAAAAATTTCATCCTTAATTGGTTCGAACGTTCCATTAGAAGGACCAGCTACGTTCATATTCCGTGTGTGCACGCACGTGCATTCCACTTTTCAGGCTCGCCTTGAACCTGCCCGATTGCTCGAACAGTTTCACGTGAAACTGGAACCGACCGACGATACGGCTTGATACGCTACCTGCACACGACTTTATGCGCTCAGCCAGGTATCTCCTCGCGTGCCTCGCCGAGACGATGCCTTTTCCTCTCTTTGCTCTTCTCCGCGTTCATCGATTCCTCTAGCAGCGCGGGATTCGCTGGAACCGCAAAAACCTCGCCAATTGCACGTTTGATCGCTCTGGTCCGTTGGTTGAGGTTTGATTGATCGGGAAACACGCGGTAACTCGCGAGACACTTGGAAAGTTCGCGCGAAAAGATTCGATTCTACGTTGACGAAAAGTACCGATTACAATTTGTGATTTGATCTCAGGATACTCTAATTACGAATCTCGAGGGAGCTGATCGAATAATATTTGGAGCATGCAAAAATGACGACGTTGGAAATATCGGGGCCCTCGCAACGAGCCAAGGTGTCGATTCAGTTTGTCGCAAAGCGATCAAGGTCCTTCTTATCCTACCGAGAGGCCGCGATAAGATAAGCTCACCGACGCCGTTCGACTTCCGATTGCACACGCCCAGTCACTCTTTTCCTTCTGCTATTTATTTCGTCGTCAAGTTATTGAAAAGAACCATCGATTGTTTTCCGTATCGTTCACAAAACGAAGATGCAACTACATCCTCTCGCAATCCCTTTACGTTGAATCAATCTCGTCCGAGTGCCCCTTTTTCGAAAGCTTTCGATGGAAAAAAATCTTAGACAAAGAAATGGGCCGAAGTTGGCGTTGAACGATTCGACGAATCGTGCGAATGTAGCAGCGTGGAACGCTTTATGTTAATGAACCCTCGCGATTACCCAGACGGGGCCAGCGAACAGGGAGATGATGTCGAGCCGATAGAGACGTCCAGACCGGATACAAGGAAGGTCGAAGGAGAAGAACCGGATAATCGTCACCGTGCTAGTCCATGCACCGGCTTCTCTTATCGGTTCTGACCCTACCAGTCCGGTCTAAGCGTTCTCCAGACGAGGAAGGAAGTCGCGTTTTGCACCGTACACCTGCGTCAGAGAGGCGCCTCCCACCTGCGGGCCACCTGAACTTACGAATAGAAACGCAGTCCACGCGACTGTCAGAATGCACCTGACTCACGCGAACGTGCTCCTTTTTCGCCTGTCCACGCGATAATTGCTCGATAATACCTTGATCGATCGTCGCGCCCAAAAATGGAGCTACTGCTTCGAAATTCATCGATTGCCCCGGCGAAAGTTGCCAATAACCGTTATCCTCGGAACAACTGCTCCTGTTATTATTTCGACGAAGGGTCCAAGACTCGAATTTACGATACACAAAATTTCGTTTCGGTGTTCAAGGGAACAATTCGCTCGTGGCCACGTTTCGAGACACGTTCGACCGCGCAACGGTCACCAGAAAGATCCTGGCCGAGCTATGATAACGGATTCTCCGGGTATACTGTTACTACGCCCGAGAGAGCGTAGTAGCGAGAGATCGCTGAACGATTGGCACGGAACGAGAAGTATTAGGCTGTAAAAGAACCGTCTGAATCCGGTCGCGACCAACAATTTCGAACGTTTCTAACTGTTTCGATGCCCGAAAATCGAGTTCATCCTGTAGAGAGAACATAACACGGGGTATCGTTTTCCCGCCCAAAAGTGCTAGTCCCCTCAGATAGGGTATCCAGCATGTAACACGTTTGTGGAATCCGCGAGGAGACAGCGAGCGAACGTCGCGTTTCGCACGAAAATTTCTTCGTTCACGCGATACGCTTTCTTCGAGGTGGTCGCGTGACCCTTTTCTCGAAAGAAAGCACCGCCACACGATCCGGAAACCTCTTGGACGATCGCGCGACTGCCGCTTCGCGTGATAAAAAGTTGTTACGGTCGATGTAATGGCGGATTACTTATTTATATCGCAGCTTGATCCCCTAATCGCGGCAAGATTGATCTGAACCGTTGTCGTCGAACGGTAAGAGGGTTCTCTCGACCGCGTCCGATGTAAATTCGACCCGTAATACGCGCGTATTTTTTCACCCCCTTCGTTGAACAGCGTATAGCTCGTGCTCTGGATGGAAAAGCTCGAAGAAATCCGTGAAGGCTAAATAGCTACGCCAGGTTGACTACAGAGAAAACAGGCTTTACGCGGTCCGCGAAAATGAGATGTTACGCGCGGATCTACGTAGATTTGCATAAACAACCAAGGAAAGTTCAGCGTATTCTTCGAGACAGAAGAACCTTGCGCGACCACGTGGAACATTGATGCGATCTTATCGACGTAGTAAAAAAAGGTTCCTTCGTTCAAATCGCTGCCTATCTCGTTGAAAGCTATGCCGCTACGACACGCGATCGACAGATTCGGCCGATCGCCGTTAACCCACCGACGACCGTGAGCGTACGGATGAAACGCGACGTTTATCGGTGATTTCCGGTGTTGGTACCCGCGAGAATCGGTCATCGGCGAGTTAAGTTAAAGGATAGAAAGATATACCAATTTTACCTGAAGTAGTGGGATCCAAAAGGCGAGCAATAAAAGGGGTCGTTGTGCATATGTGGTTGTCCGGGTACTCCGGGTCCCTGCGGATGAGCATGAGGACCCATCGGGCCAGTAGGTCCCGGACCGCACATCCCGGGTGCCCCTTGCGGTTGCATACTAGCCGGGCCCATCATGCCAGCGGCTGGGCCCATGGGATGGGGTCCGGGATGATGCGGCGAACCGACCATGTGAGGACCAGGATGATGAGGATGAGGCGACGGTCCACCGCCGCCCATGTGCGGATGAGGCGCGTGAGGCGATCCGCTCATCATCCCGTGAGGCGGCATAGGGTGAGGACTCGGAGAAGCTCCGTTCAAATGGGGTCCACCGGTGACACCGGCGTGAGGCGTCGGTGGACCCCCGTG